CCCCGAAACAGGGAGACTGACGCAGCCGCCAGGAAAGTCAGCTCACTAGGGGAGGGTTGTCCTGCAGTCATAGAGTCACAGAGTCCCAGAATGGTTTGGGTTGGAAGGGACCTTAGAGATCATCCAGTTCCAACCCACTGCTATGGGCTTCGCCCCTTCAAAAGCACTGGGCAGAAAGAGGTTGAAACCATAATCCATGCGAATCAGCAATCAAATCCCATGTGATTACAGCAGGTATAAAACTTGCCCAAACCTCTTGCTTCCAGTAGCCCTCTGCTCATTGCTGTTCTAACTTGGGGCCTTCTCTGAGAAGCAACAAGGAATCCATGATGTTCTTCATTAGATTTGGTTCAGATTTTGTCACTGTTAATGAAATCATCCTGTGGCAGAGTCAGTTTGAAAGCAGACCTCTGCTCCAAGGCTGGCGCTTGTGTTTTTATAACTCTACATTGCTGCAGCCCTGGCAGATCTCAAAGCTGGGCTGGGTCAGGATCGAAGGGGAGAACCGTGCTTGTGGGGTGCGTCATTCCAGTGAGAGCATGGTCCCTTCTCCCAGCTGTTCATGGTGTGCTGCAAGCAAAGATTAGTGACTAAACTGTAATAAAGTAAATGCTTTCTAATGTCTAAATTCCCCTGCAGTTCCCCTTAGATTGTAGCATTGGTTTGCACACCCTAACTTGTGCCTGATTGTGCTTTGGGGTTTGGTTTTTTTTTTGTTTTTGTTTTTTTTGTTTTTTTTGGGTTTTTTTTAATGTTCTACTAAACGTTTCTGTTCAAGGGTTGTTACCTTCCATTTCAGTTGGGAATGTGATTGGTGTGGTTCCTCCTTCCTTTTAGCTCCAGCCTCCTTGGGAAGACCTACAAAACCATACTGGCTCTTCTTCAGTTCTTACCACTCATCTGTTGTGGGACACATTTCACGTGTGGATGCATCTTGTTCTGCTCCCCGTTTCTAGGGCACGAGCTCTGCATAAGGAGGATGTAAATTCCTCGCAGTGCTGGTCAACCAGCCTCTTGCCTTTTAAAACCTACGAGGGAAGCACAGAAAACTTGTCCAAACTCCTCCACTTTGCTAAACTTTTTTCTTTTCACTTCTAGGTCCTCCTGTTGAGCCCCTGGAGCCAACCAGGCCTTTACCCACTCTTCCTGTTCGCAGAATTCACTCCACTTCGGAAAGAAAACACGAGAGACAGCCAAGACCTCCTAGTCCTCCTCTGGGTGACAGGCCGTCTCCTCCTGGCACGAAACCGAACATCTGTGATGGCAACTTTAACACCGTGGCTCTCTTTAGAGGAGAAATGTTTGTTTTCAAGGTACTATGAATTCCTGCTTACGCATGAATTTTTCTTTAGTTTTATTGCTGGAAAAGATTACTAGAAGTATAAGGCAGTGAGATTTGAAATGTCTGTGAAAATAGCTCTGTTCCTCTGAGGCTGATGCATGAGCAATATTAGAGGGAAATTGAAGCAGATTGGCTCTGGAATATTTGGAAACGGTTCCTGGTGAGATTCACAAAATGTCCAGGCAGCCTGTGCACCAAAACTTGAACTAGATGCACTGGCAGGCAATTCAGACACCATCAAGCTCCAAGAGGAGCCTCCTGTAAAGCCAGAAAGCTGAGATGACGCCTCGCTGCCTCCAGCGATGGCATGCATTGGACCCTGGGCTCCAGGGAGCACTCAGCCCACCTGGAGCTCCTAGGGGTTTGAGTCAACCTCACTTGTAAACTGCAGCCAGGGAGGGAGGAGAGGCTTTGCTCAGTAATCCACGTTAGAGTGCTTTGAATGCAGAAATCCACGGTCCCATTCCCAAAGTACCTCTGGCTCTCCCTCTGCCCAGTGGGTGTGAGTGTGGAGAGGGATATATTGAAGGTCATTACGTGGATAAACCACATCAGTTGCAGAAAATGCCCAAATCGAAACTAGCTGAAGGCTGGGGCAGTATGTGGGAGAAGGCTGACAGGCTCATCCCTGAGCATCCACCACGGCTTTAACTAATGATCTCCTCTCTGAAGGGGTGTTTCATAATTCCTTTGTGCCTTGGGACACTGTGTGCTTTGCACGGTCACCAGGTGCCGCTGAGGCTGTGTGACTCTCCTGGGCTCTGGTAGGTGAGCACCAGTGGTACCAGCACGTGTGTGACACCCCAGTGACGAGGCACGCAGAGAGGTCGCGCACAAACCAGTTCATAACGCTTGTAACTGTGGACTTGCTTCCCCCTGCTCCTTTTTCCTCTCCTCCTTTCCACCCTTTTTCACAGCACCAGCAATCAACTTCTCACCCTTTTGGCTGCCATCTGCCCCACGAAGCGCTTCCCTCACTGGAGACAGTGCTGGGCTGGGCTGGAGCTGTCACCTGAACCAGGACTCTGTCTGTAATGGTTCCGGGGCCTAGGCAGGGATTAGTAATGCTGGATGCTGGACGCCCAGCCTGGTTTGACTGCAAGATAAAAATACTCAGTCTGAAGAGGCTTCTGGTTTTCTCAGGATCGTTGGTTCTGGCGTCTGCGCAACAACCGAGTGCAGGAGGGATACCCCATGCAAATCGAGCAGTTCTGGAAAGGCCTCCCCGCAAAGATTGACGCAGCCTATGAGCGATCGGATGGAAAATTCGTTTTCTTCAAAGGTACGGTACCTTTCAGGACAAGCCCACCACACCTGCCCCACATCACCCTCATGGCATGAAGGTGGTGAAAACAGGTACGCTGCGTCCGTGTCTTTTTCCAAGGGAACGCTTCAAGCAGCCACTAATCCTTAAAATATAGTTTAGCGTGGGCTGGCCTTGCCAGGACCATCTCTGTGTAAAGCTAATATTGATTAGTGGAAGTTGGCTTCCATATGATAATGAGAAATATCTCCTGTTTCCCAGGGAGCGTCAGTCTCCTGCCTGTCTCCTTGAATGCATTCCGGCGGGGCGTTAGGGCCTCTCCGGGTACAGGGCGCTCCCAACCCACATTTCTGGACAATTGTCTCCTAAAGAGACAAAATGACCAACCTCAGCTGGGGCCCACATGAGCTCCTTGCACTGTGACAGGGTCTGAACAGGATTCTGTGACTTGAGAGCAGGTTGTAAGCAAGGAAAAGTGGCCATAAAGCATCGGCACGTTCCCGTACAAACACAGCACCTGGTCTTCTGAATTTACATCTGCAGCTTCAGTCCCTCAGCTCAATCAACCACCTTGAGAAGGCTCAGAGGAAGGCAGTCATTTGGTCGAAAAGGATGGGCTGGCCTCCCGCGAGGAATTCCTCAGCCTGAAGGAGGGATGCCAAAGGCAGGGTATGAGGGAAGCCTTTGAAATCGTGCCTGGCCTAGAGAAGGTAAAAGGGAGAAGGCTGTTTAACCTCTTCCAAAACAAGAGCTGAGAAGCAGCAAATTGAATCAGGAGGCTTCAGGTTGCAAATGAGGAGGAGGAGCAGCTTTTTCACATCATACAGTTAAGCCTGGAAGTCCTCAACCTGCTGTGGTTCCTTGTGGCTCTTTCACATTTATATCAATTCAACTACTAATTAGGCAAATCTGTTGTTTGTGTCCCTGTTCACCTCTAGGAGATAAATACTGGGTTTTCAAAGAAGTGACAGCAGAGCCAGGCTACCCCCACAGCCTGGTGGAGCTGGGGAGCTGCTTGCCCCGGGAAGGCATCGACACGGCTCTGCGCTGGGAGCCCGTGGGCAAAACCTACTTTTTCAAAGGCGACAGGTACTGGAGGTACAACGAAGACAAGAGAGCAACGGACCCAGGATACCCAAAGCCCATCACCGTGTGGAGAGGAATCCCCCAGGCTCCGCAGGGAGCTTTTATCAGCAAGGAAGGCTGTACGTATCTGCAGTTATTCCCCCTGTGTGATCACTAATTGCTTGTCTACCCTGGGAGTTGGGTTGTTCAATGTGGGGTGTTCTGAATATTTCCTGAGATAGGAATTGAGTCTCAGAGGTCCTGGGGTCCCTTGCAGTCTGAGATCCTTCCCGACCCTCATCCCACTCCATGTACCTCAACTGCTAAACCACATTACCGTAATGCCAGCTCTGGGGGGTGGGAAGGGGACTTTTTTGTGGTTTTGCCGCCACAACATTCCCTACCCGAGTTCTCCTGGCCCCTGACAGTGTGGGTGCCATCACTTACATTTTCCTCCTGGGTTTCACCTGGAGCCAGCTCAGTCACCCCGCTGCAGGCTCCAGCCTGCCCGACGTACTCCGAATTGGGCCATGCTCTGAGGGGGGGTCGGACCTCCAGAGGCTCCTTCCAACGCATTTCTTTCTCTGGTTGGAAGATTTTGTCCTCTTCTTCCAGCTGGGGAAAGGACTAACAGCAGGGGCTTGTGCCATTAAGGGGGTGTTTAAATGTGGGGCTGGGGGTGAGACAAGGGCTGTAGGGCTGGGCTGGAGGAGGGCAGTAGGAGCCAGCCACGCTGGAGGACAGAGCGGGAGATGAATGCTTTCACCACTGCTCCCTTCTCCTTTTTTCTTTTTTTTTTTTTTTTTCCCCTTATCACTTGACAGTGATTAGAAAAGGAGTCATCTGGAGAGATGAGGGAAATAACACTGTTCAGACAACAAGCAGCATAACCCATCACCCTTCTAGCAGCAGTAGGGCAAGACTGCTCCTTACCAAAGGCCAAATCTTCTGGATTGTGTGGCCAGAATCTTGTTTAGCAGCTGCTCCCTCAGGCTGGTGAACAGAAGCTTTCAGTATTCTTCCAAACAGCATCACACCCAGGCACACTGCGGTTCTGCAGATGATGTTAATTGCTTGGTAACGATGAGCACATATCTACAGATGCTTTAGTGAAACACAGCTCACTGCAGAGCACTTTCAAGTTAGTTAGGTTTTATTTTTTATTCACAGCTTGGCTTGGCCGGGGGAATGGTGCTCAGTGGGTGACACTGCACCCACGAGCCAGGGCTCTGGCTTCTCCAGTAAATCCCAGCTCCACAACCACCGACCCTTGTCGATGGTTTTGGGCTGCCCTGGAGGAATGTGTTTGATTGGCACAGGCAGGTCCCACCTCCAGCCTTCCAGGCTCTCCGCACATCCTCATGCGCGCACAGCTTCTGAAGTTGGCAGTGGTATGGTGAGAGCTGTTCTCTGTTTTGTCTCCTAGTTTACACCTACTTTTACAAGGGGAAGGAGTATTGGAAGTTCGATAACCAGCGGCTGAGCGTGGAGCCGGGCTACCCCAGGTCAATCCTCAAAGACTGGATGGGCTGTAACCAGAAGGATGTTGAACGCAGCAAAGACAGACGCCTCCCCCACGACGATGTGGATATTATGGTGACAATAAACGATGTGCCTAGCACTGTAAATGCAATTGCAGTTGTCATCCCTTGCATTTTGTCTCTGTGTATCCTTGTCTTGGTATACACGATCTTCCAGTTTAAAAACAAAGAGGTGCAGCAAAACGTTGTGTATTACAAAAGACCTGTCCAGGAATGGGTATGACACAGCCCGCTGCACGTTCCAACTCATTGAGCTGATGAGGACTATGGACAAAAAAAAAAAAAGAAAAAAAAAAAAAGCATTTAAAAGCCTACCAAACAAAACTACTTCAGTGACCTACAAGTTTTGGACAGCCTGGGACTGAAAGAAGCAGGAAAACTGGATAAAATACAGGCAGCCTTGCAGTGTGGAGCCTCCTTCCTTCTTACTGCCTCAGTCGCGCGTCAGTCTCAGTGTGCCATCCTCCACAGGCTCACTCTGCCAACATCAGAGTCTTCAAGACAGGTTTTAACTGACCTGGGAAACTTCCTTCAGTTCCCTGCACCAGTGCTCCCTGTTAAACCCAGCATTCTCCAGTGTAGCTAAACCACCTCTGAACAGAACCATTTTTTTAATAGCTGTCTCATAAATGAATTAAGATCATGAAATCTATGAACAGGAACAATTCAGTATCGTAAGGAGAAGACATTCTGATGCTGAAACATTCTAAAAGATCTTCTTAGTTTATTATGAAATCCAGGGAATTCCCTGGATACAATTTTCCAATACCTGCTGGTCAGATGTTTTGTACATTCATAACCAATCAACGCTGCCACTCAGCACAGTGCATGAGGAACCACGAAGCACTCAAAGAGGTAAATGAGTGCCGAGCAGAAGCTCAAGAAGCACCCAACCAGCAACCATCACGTTACCTGGCAACATCATGCCCTAGATTGGGACTATCTGAAGACAAATAATTGGGTCTAAAAAAAAAACAACAAAAAAAACAAACAACAAACCAATGTTTTTGTTTTGGGAGCAAGCCATGAAAGAAATATTTAAGTGTCATATGATGTTGTTTTAAGCTCCCATCGCCAAGAAACAATGAACCAACAGTTACCGATATATTGAAAAATATGTATAGACGTAGACTGCACTCTGCCCCTGTTACGATGCTGGGAAAAGGTGAATTGTTGTTTTGTGGCATGTATAACTAGATTGTGGACTTTGTATGTTGGGTTTCAGGAGAATGGAAGTGTTTGTTTGGAGTGAGATCGTCATTATATTTTGCTGAAATAGTCAAGGTACAGTAAGAATTAGGCCTGTTTATGAAACTAAATCCAATCCCTGTAGATGTTACAACCATTGTATGCCTTTGAAATTTGGGTTTTTTTTTTTTGTTTTTGCTCACTTCTTCACAAGCAAATATTTGGCAAGGACCAAAGGAAGCATGCCACACAAGTAGAATGAGTTCAGCACTAGCCACTTTTGACAGAGACATAAAAATCAGGTCAAGGCTAGATAAATATCCAAACTTTTGGCTACTAACTCTTCACAAGTCTCTGCCTACAACAATAGCTTCTGCTTCTCCCTCTCAGAGTTGGGAATGGTTGAGGATGTTGTGTCCTAACCACAACCTGAGTCCATGTTGTTGTTGATATTTCTACCACCTTGAATAGGAGTGGCAGAAGAGTTTCTTGCCATGCAGTGGTGAAGTCCAGCCCTGTACAGAAGTGCCATTGGTGGCAGCACCCGAGCTGCTTTGCACGCTCTCTCGAAGGAGCAGGTGATCAGCGTAAGCCCTCTGCCTATAACTGATCTGATTCAGTGCAATGGAAGTGCACTGCGCAGAATGTCCCGTTAGTATAGAAAAAGTCCAGCTTTATAATGCCAGCTAGGGAAAAAAAAATAAATCCAAGGATGGCAAACATGCTAAAAATATTCCCAATGACAATGATGAGGAATGATGAAGCAGAAAGATATGTTAGCATTCTGGATTTCTGACTAGTGCTCAAATATTGCTCTGGTGAAGCAGGATAGACAACTAGACGCTGCTAGTGAAGCCCACTAGGACTGCATAACACGTGGTCTTAAATTGTATTTTGTCCTTCATAATTGATTTCCATAGCCAAGCTGTTTATTGTGTTTAAACATAAAAAAATATTACAAACATATTACAAAATAAGCAAGAAGCTAGTAGATGCAAAACTTTGAATTTTAGTGAAAAAAAAAAATGTGATAATGTCTCATGATGGGTGAAGGAGTGCGAAGAACCAAATGAAATCGGAGCTTACCAATTAGACACCCCCACGCTACTCCGTCCGTTGCTATGTGTACTATAGATGTGGTAGAATGCACACTGTGAACGCCACAGCCACATGGCACATCCAGCTCATCTGTACGCTGCCATCTCTTCTGGGACTGCGACAGCCCAAACCTTTGAGCAACTTCCAACAGCCATCATTAAAAAAAAAAAAATTTACAACCTAGAGAAATATCTGGTTTTGTTTGTATTTTTTTTCCTCCTGCCCAAAGGCAGATTTTTGGTCCATCCTGAGGAACAAGCTGTCCAGGCAGCACAACGCCGGGGTCTGTAGCAGGCCGAGCCGTTTCCTCGCCCAGCTGCGTATTCCCTTGCGCAGCCAGGCACCCGAGGACCTAAACCGCCTGCCTGCGGTGCCAAAATTCAGCCTTCCTCAAAGAGCCCCTGCTTCAAAGAGCCAGAGGAGTTGGGTGCCTTTCCTAACTGCTTCATACCTGGCTCCTGGCGCAGATGTTCTGTAGTTGAGCTTTCCGGGGCTGTGGGGTGTTTGTGAAAGGGTTTAAGGGGCTGAGGAACAGCCCTCTGCAGTTACAAGTGCTGGCACTGGGGGAACTGGTGCAGCTGGGTGAGCAGCTGACCCACTTCCCCCGAATGCAATCCCCTTCTCCCCACTATCATCTCTCTTTTGATACGATTAGTACCCGTGCAGTCCTGGGGTGAGCTGGATCCAGGCACAAACATCAGTATCCGTGTAAGGGATAGATCCTTCATATTCCCCCCCCCAAGCAATTTGCTGGGATCCTGTATTTTGCTGCAGAAACAGCTCCTGACAGCAGAGCATCGCCTCCCTCTGCCTCCCAGACCAGGTGGCCATGGTCCAGCTCCTGTCTGGAAATGCAGCTCCAGGACATATTGTCACCACAGGGGAGCAGGGGACAGCAGCGCTTATTCAACTCTAATCTCATAAGCAAGAGGCTCTCCTAGGTGTGCTCTTGGCGTGACACAAAGCTCTCTGCAGTACGGTCATTCGTACCGCCCGAGGGGAGTCCTGGCACACCGTCACCTTCAGTTGCAGCCCACTACCTACCCTGTACTGCCCTCAACAGTCCACTTTTTTTTTTTTTCTCCCAGTTTCTGATAATTTCATCACGAGGAAAGCAGGCTCATTTTTCCAGGTAAGTTCGAAATGTGCTGGGATACACAATCACTGCAGTCAGAACAGAGGTGGTGCTGCAAGAGGGGTTAGTTGTTCCTAACTTAGTAAAGCTCAAAGGGATCTCCCACCTCACACCATGAGGACACAGGTTTTTAAAAGCCTCTGGGGAGGATCCTGCCATTAAAGCACACCCTGGCAGCCAAAGCTACACACCCTCTGACTTCACAGAACCTCGAGTTGCAAGACTCCTCCCTCAAAACCTCTGGACAACTCTTGTCCATCCTCTCACATCCATCCTGGTGCCCAATTCCAACCTTTCTCAGGGTATCAGGCTTATTTGTCCAGCACAGCTGGAATCGGCTGCAGCTCCTCAGACCATTCTTGCAACCCGTCGTAATACAAGTCCCGCGTTGCCTTCCACCACCTGACAGCAAAGGTGGCACGTAGCCGTGGTGTGTAACCATGAACTTCAGCAATTTCACTTTTAGGAATCCCGAGAACCTGCGGTAGCCATACCCAGCGCCGGTGACATAGGACTTGATTTTATTGCCTGTTCCCTAACACCTGCTTTTGGCACAGGAGATGTGCTGCCTTTGAGATAAAGCGCAGAAAAAGGGTCGGTCCGGTGTTGCACAGTGCTTTAAGTGCCACAACCCGTGAAACACCAAGGGCCTCCCTGGTAATTCCGCCGTTCTGTAACCCTTCACCCGAGCTGTCGTTTCTCCCTGAACTGTTTCACGCTGTTGTTCTCTCACCCCCACGGCCCTGCAAGCTCTGACACTGCAAGGCAGGTTCTCATGAGAAGTAATGAGCCACAGCGAGAATCTCACTCCTTTCCCCGGCTTCTTTTGGAGTTTTTGGTTTACAGAAGAACCAAAATTTAATGAGCAAAGTATTAGCCAAAAATACACATTTGCAGGAAAGCTTGGCAGCCACTGTGCAACACTTGCATCTTCCCTACAGATAGTACTCAGGAGAAAGATGCATCATGCTAATGATGGGCTTTGTTTGGGCTTTCTTTACCTAATTAACTCCAAACATTCAGTTTGCTTTTTTGACTATTACTGAAGACTGAGCACGTCTTTGTTCAGATGCATACCTTCAGGCCAAGAATTTGCTCTTGCGCTGCTCAGAGTTCATCACTACAGCTGTGAAATTTGGATTCTTAACCACAAGATACTTCACTTTGTGTTCAGCAGCTCTGAATTCACCTTTCTGTCAACCCATCAGTCCTTACTTGTCAGCAGAAGTCAGTATGGGCAAAGTTCCCTGCACCAGCCCCTGCCCCAGGACACAAGGACGCTGAACATCGCGGCTCCCAGTGGAGCGCCGTCACACTCCTGGAAAATCCACCCTGCTCCTCTTCTTCCCCATCCTCAAGCATGTAAAAGGGCTTCCCTCTCATTCCGTGGGATCACTCACCCAGGGTCCTTAAAAGCCTCTGGCACAAATCCTGCCAAATGCCTTTTAGGAAACAGAGCCCCTCCATATCCCTGGGGACTCCTTCAGAGAACTCCACAGGTCCTGGAAGACAGGATTTGCCAGTAAAACACCAAGTTTATACTCTCGTGATATCATGTATCTGTGTTTCTACTAATCCATTCTTTATTACAGTTTCTGTTTTCCTTGTACAGAGGTCCATCCCGCTGGGTCAGAATTCCCACAAACCCTTGCTTAGGCCGGCACTTCCCCGTTCCCACGCTTCACTGCAACTTTTGCAAGAGATCACAGCCCACAGCCAGCACCACCCCATTCTGCTGCCTGCCTCCAATCCTCTTCGGCGTATCACAACCCCAACACTAACCAGAGCTTTTGCTATTTAAGGATCTGGACTACACAGAGACTGGATTATTTCTCTTGTTTAAGCAATTTTTAACACATAAGACACATCACGATCACCAATATAAACCAGGATTCCTGCTTATCAGCCAGAATGAAAAAGAAAAGTTACAGAAATTGCAGAGGAAACTTCAGCCTTGCTAATTTCACGCCAACACCGACAGCAGCGGTCAGGCTCTTTGCCATTCACACCCGAGAACAGCGCCCTGGGAGGTGGGCGAAGGAAAGCAGCTTCGCACCCAAATACAGAGACAGGCTACGAGGAGGGGGGCTGGAGTCAGTGCCAAGAAAGGAGATCCATTATATCAAAGGGGCCATAAACACCAAAAATTGTTAGCTGTAGGAGCAAGGAGCCATGAGCTGCTTACAGGCTTCCCTGGTGGCAGAAGGAAGGGGAGCTGCCGGGGAACGGCACCACTGGAGACAGAGCAGATGGCAGGACTGCTGCAATCTGAGATCCCATGGCGGGGGCTGGAGTCAGTGCCAAGAAAGGAGATCCATTATATCAAAGGGGCCATAAACACCAAAAATTGTTAGCTGTAGGAGCAAGGAGCCATGAGCTGCTTACAGGCTTCCCTGGTGGCAGAAGGAAGGGGAGCTGCCGGGGAACGGCACCACTGGAGACAGAGCAGATGGCAGGACTGCTGCAATCTGAGATCCCATGGCAATCTTCAAGTTTAAGGAGGAACCTTTTAATCAACCAAGGCTTATAAAGCCTTCCCTAAACATCCAGCCAGTAGAACAAAAATGGAAGTTTATTTCATTTTCTACAAAGGCTGAAGCAGCAGGCTGGTGGTGCTCTGCCCACACTGCCCTCAAGACAGCACTCCTCAGGGGAACCCAGCTGAGTCACGCAGCTGCGTGGAAGCAAGCGAGGAGGTTCCCCATACCCCCAGGATGGGAAGTGGAAGAACGCCTTTGCTGGGCAAGCAGAAGAAAAGCAACTGAAATGAGAGACCAGTGAGCTACAGCTCTGTTGAAAAGCAAATTATTATCTTCCACCTGAAAGCGGTATCTACAGCTCCTTCTCATCATCACTGCCTGGCAAGGGCTGAGCTCTTAATGAGCAACCTCCCAAATTTGTTAACATCTGACTGAAGGGGAGTGACTGGTTAGAATCGTCTTCACTTAACCTTTGTCCCAAGATAACTCAAGATGAGGTGGTTTAAATCTTTTCTGATCTGCTGACTTCTAAGAGTTTCCCAGCACATGTGGCTAACTCCCGCAGAACAAACTTAAGCCCGCTGGCAATCGCAGCTCTCTCCTGCAGGTGCCTCAGAAGAAGCAAACGTGCCACCGGGCATCTGCAGACATCAGCTGAAATACCCCTGTCCCGAGGCAGTCACACAGGGCTGCTGTTAGAAGCCCCTGGACTGGCTTTGAGAAACTCCAGTTTTCATCAGAAGCACCATCCCCGTGGGCATAGCTGCAGGTCAGGGCAAGGGGGCAGCGGATGACTTCTGAATGATTTTGTGGCAAGGAAACGACTCTGGTTTTGGTATTGGACATACAAGGGGCTCTTAAGTCTACTGACAGCAGAAACACCACTCTGAAGCAAGTGTGGGAAGAGAGGACAGTGCCCCGTACATGCTGGAACGGGCTGCCGTGCAGCAGAACACCGATGCGTTACTTAAGGCAAAATAATCTCTAGTGATCAACATCCAAAAGCCACGGAGTAAATATTGTGGGCTAATTTGAGAGGCTTAGTCAGCACCACAGAACAAGAATGCACAGCTGAAGAACTGGAAAATGCCAGCAAAGGGGTAGAGAGCATTACTTATTTGTAACTTATGTGTTATTTGTCAGTTTTTGTAGTACTTAGTTTACAAAACACTACAAAAAGTTGGGTTTGTAGCCTCTTCCTTGGGCTAGGCCTGCAGGAACCACATCAGAAGGTCCAGATGTCTAATCCAAAGCGCAGCTTGACACTTCACTCCTTAGGAGTCTTCTGGAAATCAGGAGACAACACTGCTCATGTCAAGCTAAAAAGACAAAACAGAAAGGAGATTTAGCAGACGAGCTCTGGAGAGCGCAGAAGGCATTTCAAAACACCAGTACAGTCCATTTGCAACCTCCAGTACAAAGGCCCAGTGGAAACTCCCCTTCCTAGAACATCAGGGTCTATGAAAAGAGGGAGCAGAGGTAGCACCTGCCAACAGCTAGCCGTAAGAACAGACTTGTCAAGCTGGCAAAGGGAAAATGTACACTCAGCCTGGTCTAAGTAGTTATCAAAAGCTCAGAGCAAGTTTACCTGTGGCTCTGTTACGCTCAGAGACATCAAGCCTTTCTACAGGAACTGTGAGGGGGCAGCAAAGAACTCTTTCAAAGGTTCTTCATCCAAGGAATTCCTTATTCTTTCCTTATGCCATAAACCATTCCCATACATCCTTATGAAAACTGAGGACTCAGCCACTAAGGTACAACGGCCTCAGTAGCTCGGGAACACACCTCTAGCAGCACAGCAATGATCCCAACAGTTGTCATCAGATTCAAACCTACATGAAGTTCGCGTAGGACACTCAGCTACACGTACGCCTAAACCTTGTAAAAAAACTCACACACATTAATGAATGGGGAAGGTCCGATATCACTAGCACCCCAGGCAGAAAACAAGAAAACCTGCCTCCCATTACAAGTTAACCTGGATAAAGCCGTTCATTAAAAGGCTTTAAAAAAAAAATTTAAGGCAGTAGCCTTAAATTAAAAAGATTTAAGGCAGCAGCAGACAAGCTCTAAAGTCTTTTTGGCTCCAAAAATGGTTGTAGCAGGCATTTGAAATCATAATTTTATGGGTTACAATAATCAAAAGCCAAGATCTCAAGCAAAGTCACTGGTACTTTAACTTCTAAACCAAGATTTGTTTAAAAAAATCCATTCATGTCACAGCAAACCACTGAACAGCTAGAAAAAAATAGTATCTGAAAGTTGAAATAGATAGTATTTCTCACAAAAAGTATTATAACCACAACAAAACCCCTTCCACTTTCCATCCAGGACTGAGCAGGCTCATCAGCTAGAAGGAAACAAACCTCTCTGCGATGAGGTAATTGTTGTCAGTAACCCAATAAAGGAAAGAGGAAGTAAAAAAAAAGAAAAGATTTTCAAAAAGACAAATCCGTTGTGAGAACAGCTAATTTTACAGTAGTATCTTGCCTGTTCTGATGATGATTAGTCACAGACCTGCATCCTCCCTACCTGTCAATCAAGGAATCTCTCATGTTGGTAGCAATGGTACTCGGCTGAGCTTCATTCAGCCTGAAGATACTCTCGATGACGGAGAGCTCGGTGCTGGTTGTGTCCAGGCCACAGAAGGCACACCAGTCATTCACAACCATACGCTGCCACGATTCACCGTTCCGGCCTAGCAACAACAAAGCGGCAAGAGTGAACAGGGTGCGCTGACAGCGACACATTTCATTACACGGTCTTATTACGAGTCTCTAGCGGAGGGCCTCAACGCACACTCCTGAAAAGGTTAAAGCTTCTGCCATCAACAAAGCTATAAAGATTTCAGATAAAAATATTAACTGACAGTCTTTAATCTCTGGAGAGAAAATTGCGTGCCATTCAGTGAAATAAAATCTAATGAGTAGGAAGCATAAAGACAGAGCAATCATGAAATTCACAAACCCAATGGAGTAGGCACAGGATTTTATTACCTAATTTTTTTAAACACTGCCTTTGGCCAAATGACAGACATCTCACATTCTTTATGAATGAATCAGCACAACTTGCAAAATCCCAGCGGGGCAGTGGTTCAGAGACAAACTAAAGGTACCAAGCAGCTTATTCAGACTCAGGATAAAGCAGGGAAAATGTCTCAGAAGGCTTGTCCCATTCAATTCTCCTCATCTCCCACTTGGAACAGCTCTGCAGAGCAAGCAGCATCTCGGAGGCCACGAGATGCAGAAACATTGAAACTGAACTGCGTTGGAAGGGAGTGGTGAGAGAAAACACAAACCCACAAATGCCTTACCACAAGTGGGACCTGGAGCAACGAAGACAGTTCATCCTGATCATCAATTGAAGTTTTGGGGTGCACGATTCCTCCTTGGTTACTAAAAACACAGTAACTTCCTACCAGCACCTGATCTGCTACCGTTTGTCTGAAAACCTCAACCTTCAGTACGTCTGCCAAGATCTCTTCTGTCTCCTGCAAACAGAAAGAGAGAATAAAGTCCTCAGCAAAACAGTATTGCAGAATTTGAATTCAAGTTATTCCTGCATGCAACCACCAGCCGGGATCCTCCCTTTGACAGCCTGCCCGCGCTTTCACAACCCAGTGCAATCCAGTCATGGGGAAACGCTTCCTCAACCTCCACACTCCAGATGTTTCCAGTCACCTGTGCACACTGGCCTGGGCCTCTGTAACCAAACACACCTCTGTGCCTTACTGAGAAATGCTCTTCTCCCCTCTTTCTGGAGGATGTTGGCAGAACATCAGCTCCCTGGGCACTCCCTGGGAACCAGGCCTCTTTTGTCCCAGACCACTGTGAGAAAATTATCTTAATTCTTCTGTATAACTCTAAGGACTTCCTTCCCCTGCAGGTTTTCACTGTGAATTATTTTGATTTCTCCCTCTCTGACCATCTCACCTTACTTTTTACACTTCTTTAAAACACAACATGCTGCCAAGACCATCACCTTTCCCCCAGGTTCCCCCTCTTTTTCTTTTTCCTTTGCACTCCTAACATCAAGTCCCATTTCTCCATCACCTTTAGCACAAACTAGAAGCAAACGCTGTAAGAACCTTCGCTACCTGTAGCCACACAACACACGTTTCTCTAACGCTGCTGAGATACCAGTTCTCAAACAGAAAGTAGCAGCAACTTTGTCTCCTCTGCCCTTATTTTAAACTTTTATGAAAGAACCTCCCATTTTCCTTTCACCGCCCTGTCACATGCACACCACTGCCTTCAGGGCCTTTTGCAACTATTATAGATTGCAGCTAGCTCACCAGTAGCTTCTAACTACTGCTGTAGTCCTGACTCAACTCTTCTTTACGCTCTCTTTATCACCCACTCTTTCATTCATTCAATTTGACATACGCAAAGCAAATTGCACCTGACAATATCCCACTCCTTCCCTTCCCTGAAGGGCATTACTGCAGCCTGCACAGGGTCCACACCCACAAAGATAAATACAGGAAGAGAGACAGACCAACTGAAACCAAGCCAGAAGTCCAAAATACAATTTTGAGACTTCTCTCTTGAGACGAAAGGAACCATGAGGCAGCACAGCCTCCTGTGTACCATCAGCTCAGCCGTTAGCACAGCTCTTCTGCTCCCCACGCTCCATACAGCAATCCTCCTCAACAACAAACCCAGCCTGCGGCTTGGCAACCATTTCACATGCATCCACCACAACTTTAAAAGCCTTATAGAACCATCTACCCTGTCAAGATCGGGATGAACAAGAGCTACGTAGTCATTGCAGGTGGTGACATTGCCCAGTGCTGAGAGACGCAACACGTTGAATTCGTACAGAATCTGGAAGACTATTGCGGATATGTTGAAGCTCTTGGTCTGTCGTACTGCTTGGGACCAACAGTCCATGTCTGTTTCCTAAAATGACAAAACAAACAAAAAAAAGGGAGAAGGAAAAAAAAAAGAATGTTTCCATGGGACTTCCTACTTTCCTGATGTTCATATCGCGGTGAGTTGCCCTTTCCCTACCCCCTCCTACCAAGCCCAGAATTCCCCCCCAGAGAAGTAATGTTACCATTTAAAGATAACAGAGAACAACAAGTAAGGGAAATCCAGGATGAAGCACAGACTTATCTCCGAGTAGAAATGGGTGAATGGCACTATCCTCGGTCACTTCTCTTCTTCAACAGAACTAAAGGAAGCCCAAGGTTCCCAATCCAACACTTTGACTCAGAATTTCTCGATAGATGCCAATCGCCCCCAAAAAAGTACAGATGCTGCTTGTCTGTATTGCTTTACTGTGGCAAAGCTGTAAGACAGGCTGGACAAAGACATTCTTTTCGCAGGAACAAAACTCAAAAAAGTTCGTCTGACTGAATAGGTCTGACTAGCCAGAGACAGACGGAAGAATTTTCTTTGTCTTTCAGGTTTGTCAATGCCCACCCCCTCCTCGGGCCAAAACTTCTCCCGGTTTACCAGCAAGGAGACTCACCCGTGCCTGGAGCCCATCTCCCAGCCCGAGAGGCGAGCCCCGGCCCCCAGCTCTGTGACTGGCCGAGGTTTGCTTTCTCCCTTTTCACCCGGAACATCCAGTAACAACTCTGAGG